GTCTTTCTGACAGTGCTGTAGCTAAATTTAAGGAGGAGATTCCTTCAGTGTTTAATTCAATGCCATGTCTGAATTTAACAGAGTCCTATAACAACTTTAGTCCCTCTGAAATTGATAATCTTGTCGATAGTGCTACAGGCTCACTACGATCAACATTAGACTCTATCGCTCCTATAAAAAGGAAATTATTAAAACATAGGAGACTAGCACCGTGGTATAACCACCAAACCCGCCAGTTAAAACAAATAGCTAGAAAATCTGAAAGGAAATGGCGCTCTTCCAAATTATCAGAATATCGCTCAAATTGGCAAGATGATCTTAAGATTTATAGAAAGGCCCTCCGTAATGCCAGAGGAGCCTATTACTCAGCACTAATAGAAGAAAATAAGAACAACCCTAGGTTCCTCTTCAGCACTGTAGCCAGGCTGACAGAGAGTCACAGCTCTATTGAGCCACATATCCCCATAAACTTAAGTAGCAATGACTTCATGAGCTTCTTCTATAATAAAATTATTACTATTAGAGAAAAATTAATCACCAACTGCCATCAACAGTTATCAGTGGCTCTCCAAGTTCAGGGACTTCTGTCAATGTAAACTTAGATATATATTTAGACTGTTTTTCTGCTATCGATCTTCATCAGTTAACTTCAATCATTTCTTCATCGAAGCCATCAACCTGTCTGTTAGACCCGATCCCAACTAGGCTGCTTAAAGAAGTTGTTCCCTTAATTGGCACTTCTTTACTGGATATGATTAATCTTTCTTTATTATCAGGATATGTACCACAGTCCTTTAAAGTAGCTGTAATTAAACCCCTTCTTAAAAAGTCTACTCTTGACCCAGGGGTTTTAGCCAACTATAGACCGATTTCTAACCTCCCGTTCCTCTCTAAGATTCTGGAGAAAGTAGTCGCCAAAGAGTTGTGTGACTTTCTACATAACAATAGTTTATTTGAGGATTTTCAGTCAGGATTTAGAGTTCATCATAGCACAGAGACAGCTCTGGTTAAAGTTAATAATGACCTTCTGACTGCTTCTGACAATGGACTTGTCTCTGTACTTGTATTATTAGATCTTAGTGCTGCATTTGACACCATTGACCATGATATTCTTTTACAGAGACTTGAGCATCAAATTGGCATTAAAGGAACTGCCCTAACCTGGTTTAAGTCATACTTATCAGATCGTACTCAGTTTGTACATGTTAACGATGAATCCTCCATAAATACTAAAGTTAGTCATGGAGTTCCACAAGGTTCTGTACTTGGACCAATACTATTTACTTTATATATGCTCCCTTTAGGCAACATTATTAGGAATCACTCCATTAACTTTCACTGTTATGCAGATGATACGCAGTTATATCTATCAATCAAACCCAATGAAATTAATCAATTATCTAAATTACAAACATGTCTTAAGGACATAAAATCCTGGATGAGCTGCAATTTTCTGATGTTAAACTCAGAAAAAACCGAAATTCTTGTTCTTGGCCCCAAAAACCTTAGAGACTCATTGTCTAAAGATATAGTCACTCTAGATGGCATTAACTTGGCCTCTAGCACCACTGTCAGGAATCTTGGAGTTATCTTTGATCAGGATTTGTCATTTAACTCCCACATAAAGCAGTCCTCTAGGACTGCCTTCTTTCATTTACGTAATATTAGAAAAATTAGACACATACTATCACAGACAGATGCAGAAAAACTAATCCATGCATTTGTTACTTCAAGGCTGGATTACTGCAACTCTTTATTATCAGGTTGCCCCAATAAGTCCATTAAAAACGCTCCAATTAATTCAGAACGCTGCAGCACGAGTACTGACAGGAACTAGAAAAAGAGATCACATCTCTCCTGTACTAGCTTCTCTGCATTGGCTCCCTATAAAATGTAGAATTGAATTTAAAATACTCCTCCTCACCTATAAAGCTCTTCATGGTCAGGCCCCTTCATATCTTAAAGAGCTCATAGTACCCTATTACCCCTCTAGAACACTACGTTCTCTGAATGCTGGGCTACTTGTGGTTCCTATAGTCTCTAAAAGTAGAACAGGAGCCAGAGCCTTCAGTTACCAAGCTCCTCTCCTGTGGAACCAGCTTCCAGTTGTGGTTCGGGGAGGCAGACACCCTCACCACTTTCAAGAGTAGGCTTAAGACATTCCTCTTTGATAAAGCTTATAGTTAGGGCTGGATCAGGTGAGTCCTGAACCATCCCTTAGTTATGCTGCTATAGGCCTAGACTATCGGGGATTTCCCATGGTGCACTGAGCTACTCTCTTCCTCTCTCTTTCTGCACTCATTCATGTCCCTTTAATGCATGTTACTAACTTCACTTCTTCCCCGGAGTTCTTGTGCTTTCTCGTCTCGCAGGTTCTCATGGATCCTGGTGGAGCCTCCTGCCATGGTCCTGCTTGACTGCCATTGCCAATACTGTTGTTGCTGTGCACCTGTCTGTCTGTCTGTCGCTCTCTCTCTCTCTCTCTCTCTCTCTCTCTCTCTCTCTCTCTCACCCCAACTGGTCGAGACAGACGACCACCCACCTAGAGCCGGAGGATCTGTCCTAGGTTTCTGCCTTTTAACAGGCAGTTTTTCCTTGCCCTTGTCGCCAAGTGCTTGCTCATGGTGGTACTGTTGGGTCTCTGTAATTAATGTTTTAAAGAGTTCGGTCTAGACCTGCTCTATTTGAAAAGTGTCCTGAGATAACTTCTGTTATGAATTGGCGCTATACAAATAAAATTGAATTGAATTGAATTGAAATTGTTGTTGTTTGTTATTCTTGTTTATTGTTGTTGTTTATTATTCTTGTTTATTGTTGTTTATGTTGTTTATGTTGTTTATTGTTGTTGTTTATTGTTGTTTATTATTGTTGTTGTTTATTGTTGTTGTTTATTATTGTTGTTGTTTATTGTTGTTTGTGTTGTTTTGAGAGTGAATAAAAGCATCCGGTGTGACGGACTCACCTGGAAATGTGTGACAGCGAACACGCAGATGGGCGGAGCTACAGTCTGCAGCAGACCGTCCCGACCGCCTACGTTTCCCAGAGTTCCTAGCAGCGCTGCGAGGGCGGAGCACGCCGCTCCAGCTCGGGGCGGGACGCTCTGATAGGCTGCGGCGGGCAGAGAGCCGCAGTCGTCCTCACAGAGCGGCAGAGCTGCACAGCCAATCAGAGCGCCGACCACAGAGCCGTACGCTGCCCGGAGCTCCGCCCACCCCTCATCCTGATTGGCCGGGGAGAACAGCCAATGGGGATCGGCCGTTTGGAAGAGACGCTCCACGCGACCAATCAGGGAGCTCGTCTCAGAGTCGGAGGACGCACCAATCAGCTTCTCCTGCAGCCGAGAGAGGAGCTCTGTGATTGGAGGGAGGGAGGGAGAGGGGCGGGGCTTCTCCGAGGAGGAGGAGGGGCAGAGATGAAGGTCATGAAGTAAAGATGAAAGCTCCATACTGAAGAAGAGGAGGAGAGAGGAGGAAGGTCAGATTATCATCATCCTTTTATTCCAGGATATTTTCACAATAAAAGAAGGAAAATACAAACATGGAACACGTGTTGGTTCAGTTAACAAAATAAAAGTCTCAATGATCTGTGGATCAATAATAAATAAACATTGATATATTGATCTTTCTGTAACTCACTGACACTGTCAGCAGCTGTATCGATCCTGCTCGTGAGCAGCTGCCTTTTATTGGATGTTTGTTTACTAACGGAACATTTTATATTTTATTATAATTTATTATAATTTATTATAATTAAAGTCTACAGTCGGTGTGACCTCCTGCTGACTACAGGAGCCTGTGAGGGACATTCTTTAGACCATCAAAGATCGAACCAGTAATTGATTAACGATCAGATCAATAATGATTATTAGTAAATGAAACTGATCGCAGGTCGGTTGTTGTTTCTATTGTTGTTGATATTAACCCGTAAACTGACCTCAGATCAGCGGATTCTTCTTCTTCCATCGAAAACAAACTGATGATTTTATTTCTTTAACATTTTATTTTCTGGCTCGCGGCACTCAGACAGAAACATCCGGAAGCGTTACACAGAAACACGTCCGACCGGATACAAACTCCCCGTTAAAGGTTCCTACCCGACAGTACCGCCCCCTTCCGGACCGGAGTGTTTATTACATTGAGCTCCACCACAGAACCACTTCCTGTCATTAAACTAAATTAATATTTAAACTAAAGTATAAACATTAAAGTATATTTAAAGTAAAAGTGCTCATTATGCAGAATAATAGATGTTATATTAAAATATAAATAAAAACTACATTTATAAAATATATATAAGAATAAAATGAAAATAAGAACCTTTACAACTTTACAATACTCCTTTAATATCAATAAAATATGATCAAATATATATATAATAATAATAATAATAATAATAATAATAATAACAAATACAAACAGATCGATGTGAGATTGTTGATTTTTGTAAAGTTTTTAATATTTTCAAAATTTAAAGAAAAAAGAAAAATTAAAGTTTAAACATCAAAATAAAATAAATTAACGAGATTAAATAAAACTCATTATAAACTCTTAAAGTCTTTAGAAACAGAAGTTTACAGTTAATTATTGATTACTAACAGGATGATGTCATAATGAGGGGACGGCGTGTTCACACTCGATCAGAGGACGAATTAAATATGACATCAGACATTAAAGACAATATTCACATTATAAATATGATTTAATATAAATGAGCCTGTTTACACAGAGAGACACATCAGAGCAACACACACACACACAGAGACACACACACAACACACACACACACACACACACGACACACACACACACACACACACACACACACACACAGAGACACACACACACACACACACACACACTCAGATTAACTGTGTTTATTCAGATTTCAAAGCAGGAGGAAATGTTTTGAAGCTGTGTGTGTCTCTGTGTGTGTGTGTGTGTGTGTGTGTGTGTGTGTGTTGTGTGTGTGTGTCTGTCTGTGTGTGTGTGTGTGTGTCTCTGTGTGTGTGTGTGTGTGTGTGTTACATCCTCTGACAGCAGACCACACACACACACACACACACACACACACACACACACACACACACACACACACACAGCTCAGATTAAAGTCTTTTTGTTATTTATTTGATTTGTTAAAGGAAGAATTTTATGATCTTCAAAGTTAAATTTGTGTTTTTGTGAATGGAGTCTGGTGCTGAGCGGTTCAGTTAGCTCGAGGCTAATGCCGCGTTCTATTTGTCCACCGAACTCGATCTGCGAGTCGGTTTCCTGAGTTACGAACCGGAAGTTGCAAACAGAACGCAAAGACCCGCGGTTACTCGTTTTCCAACGCGGATGTGACGTCGCTCTCGAGCTGCAAGTCGCGATTACGAGACAAAACGAGCGCGGCATCAGGTTAGCTCAGGGTTTAGGTGAGAATACGTCAGCTGCAACGTTGATGATGATTCATCCTGTGTGATGAATGAAGGTTTGTATTGTATTCATGCTATCAGCGCTAGTGTTTGTGGTCTCTGTGAGCCTTTCATCCACTTCCTGTTTACTCTTCCATCTGACGGAGCTTCTGTTCGAGAAGTCAGGAAATTAAAGAGCAGATAAGAAACATGTGAACACACACACACACACACACACACACACACACACACACACTCAGTCTAACGTGTGAACACAAACACTCGCAGGTAAACAGGTGTTCAGGTTACAGCAGGTTTTAATGGAGGCACAGGTCAGAGGTCAGAGGTCAGATACAGACTCAGTTTCAACACTTTGAAGAGAAAAATGAAGATTAAAGACAAATAAACATAAACAAACACATTTTTCAGTAATGACAAACCCTTTCAAATAATAATAATTCTTCAGTAGGATTTATTTAGGGGAGGATGAGGGAGGTTGAGGGAGGTTGGGGGAGGATGAGGGAGGTTGAGGGAGGTTGAGGGAGGCAGAGGGAGGTTGAGGGAGGATGAGGGAGGTTGGGGGAGGTTGAGGGAGGCAGAGGGAGGTTGAGGGAGGCAGAGGGAGGTTGAGGGAGGATGAGGGAGGCTGAGGGAGGTTGGGGGAGGCAGAGGGAGGCAGAGGGAGGTTGGGGAGGCAGAGGGAGGCTGAGGGAGGTTGAGGGAGGCAGAGGGAGGTTGAGGGAGGATGAGGGAGGCAGAGGGAGGCTGAGGGAGGTTGAGGGAGGTTGAGGGAGGCAGAGGGAGGTTGAGGGAGGCAGAGGGAGGCAGAGGGAGGTTGAGGGAGGCAGAGGGAGGATGGGGGAGGTTGTGGGAGGTTGTGGGAGGTTGAGGGAGGCAGAGGGAGGTTGAGGGAGGCAGAGGGAGGCAGAGGGAGGTTGGGGGAGGTTGAGGGAGGATGAGGGAGGCAGAGGGAGGCAGAGGGAGGTTGAGGGAGGCAGAGGGAGGTGGGCCGTCCTCCTCTCATTAGTGGAAGTTAACACTGTTCTTATAGAAACGTCCGACATTAAAATAAACGTAATCTTGAAGTTAAAAACACAGAATTGATTCCAACTGACCTCCGCAGCTTTAGATTAACATAAACTACCGTTAGCGTGTGCGGCTAACTACCTTATTACCCAGATTAGGAGTTAACGTATCGTTAAAAAATCCCAGAAATTAATTAAAAGTTTCCGATTTTTAACCAAAAATAAAATATATTCAGTTTATCAACAAAGTTAAAAAAATGTAATTCATTGATCGATTCATTGAATTTTGCTACCTAACATGAGAAGCTGCTTTGTTGAACGTTGTCGTAAATCTGCGAGTTTTTCCCCGTAAACTTTATTAGCAACACGCATAGCAACAGTAACTAAGGGGTGGGGCTTAGCTAACGGCCAGTTGGAGGCAATCGGCATCTTTTAATGACGTTTTCATGCATTTATTAACATCAGTGACTCTGTAAACACACGCGGCTTCAGAAACAGCCTCCATGAATCAATAATGACAAACTGTAACAGTATTGATCCCCAATCCAAAACCAATCAACGATCCATGATCAATGATATCTATAAGGACACTGACGTCTGCTCTGTTCTGACTGTGTGACGACAGGAAGTTGATGATGAAGGTAAAACGTGTACGGAGACGACATCACAACATCAGGTGTGTGTGTGTGTGTGTGTCACTCCTCCGTCTCTTCTTCTTCGCTGTAGTCGCTCAGAGGAAACTCACGACTCTCCTTCTGTGTGTTGTAGCTTTTCCTGTGCATCACACACTCCTGGTCGATGATCGCCTGCAGAGCACACACACACACACACACACACACACACACACACACACACACACGCACGAGAACACACACACACACACAGCTGATCAATAACCTGTATGTGTGTGTAATCAGTGTTTAATTGAGAGTTTATTAGTTAGAACTGTTTCCTCTGCAGCTTCGAAGGCAGCAGCGTCTGATCTGTGATCAATCCCACACACACACACACACACACACACACGCACACACGCACACACACACACACGCACACACCCACACACACACACACACACACACACACACACACACTTCCTGCTGATGTGTCAGGACTTGCTGTTACACTGTGTGTGTGTGTGTGTGTGTGTGTGTGTGTGTGTGTGTGTGTGTTGGTTTAAGATCTGTGACAGTTTCTGTCGGTCGAGCTAACAACTTTTAAAACGCTTGTTTTCTGAATGGAGTTTGGTTGATCGGTGCTATGCTAACTTAGCTCTCTTCCTGTAGCTCTCTGTATAAATATAAAATATATATTATATTATATATTTTATATATTTACCATTTTCTCCTCTCTGACAGCGGGGTTACGTAACAGGAAGCAGAGTGGAGCGTACAGGATGTTGATCACACCGATAAACACCATGAGACAAGGAAAACCCACCGCCTGGACCAGAGCGCCCCCTGTGGACGGTCCTGGAACAACAGACAGATTAATAATCAGAATATTTATAATATGGGAAAACGTTTAGTGCTGTTTTCTTTAAAGCTACAGTGTGTACTTTCTGCCACTAGGGGCTCTCTCACATTCAAACATTAACAACAAGATAAAGTTATATGATGGTGAAGCAGCGTGGGATCATGGGAGTTGTTGTCTTCACCACCATTGGCGTCATTGCAGTCAGCTTCTCCCGGTTAGGATTCCTTCAGTGTTCATGGTTCAGGAGGTTTCTACCGGGAGCCCAATGATCCACAGAGGTCTCCTCCTCTCCAACACAAACAGACCCGCTGATTAAAACCACTAAACACACTGAATAAAGCAGTTCCACCTTAAACACACTGAATAAAGCAGTTCCACCTTAAACACACTGAATAAAGCAGTTCCACCTTAAACACACTGAATAAAGCAGTTCCACCTTAACAATCACTGCTTCTCCCACGCTGTTGGACAGACAGAGGACGTCCCGGAGGGGCTGCGAGCCGAGCTGCTGCTAACGTTAGCTCAGCTTGTTTCTCTGATAACTTAAGATCCAGACGTCCGATGACTAAAATCCTTCATCCGGTTCAAATCTAGAGTTAAAAAGCACCAAGATCTAAACAGTGGATGGTAACAATGTGGCTTCAGACTGGATCAACAGTCAATGTATGACAGCTTCTGGCAGACAACCACAACACTGACGCAGACACAAAGGGGATATGACGCCATCGACAGGCGACCGGCGTTACCTGAGTACAGTCACACCTACCTATAGCGAACCCCATACACAGCGCCACATCAGCGATGGCGTAGACGCTGCCGTAGACGGAGGCGTGACGGATGTCGACCAGGTAACCCATGATGGCCATCATGGAGGAGTCGACCATACCTGAAGGACGACGACACGAAACCATCAACAGTTTTTACCCACAAACACCTTCGATATCCAACATCCAGTGAACGGCTGATAGTCACCTATCGCAAAGCCCAGACCGCCGTTAGGTCCAATCAGACCGTAGATACTGGTGGCAAAAGGAACCTGACACACACACACACACACACACACACACACACACACACACACACACACACACACACAAGATGTTAAACTGGGTGTTTTTAACATGAAGTTTGGTGAGAACAGATTTTAAATGTGTTAATGATTAAACTATGGATGGATTAGTTGCTCAATCGATGGATGAATGGATGAATAAATAAATGGCAGATTGATCGGATGGATGAGTGATTGATTGATGGATTATTGATAGATATAGACTGATGATGTTTGGTTGTACTCACACACAGCAGACTGATCCCAACGATGAACATCCCCAACATGGAGCACAGCCACCTGGAGACAGAAATACCCATCAGCCTGTCTGTCTGTCTGTCTGTCTGTCTGTCTGTCTGTCTGCCTACCTGCCTGCCTGCCTGCCTGTCTATCTGTCTGTCTGTCTGCCTGCCTGCCTGTCTGTCTGTCTGTCTGTCTGTCTGTCTGTCTGTCTGTCTGTGTGCCTCTCTGCCTGCCTGCCTGTCTGTCTGTCTGTCTGTCTGTCTGTGTGCCTCTCTGTCTGTCTGTCTGTCTGTGTGCCTCTCTGTGTGTCTGTCTGTCTGTCTGTCTGTGTGCCTCTCTGTGTGTCTGTCTGTCTGCGTGCCTGTCTGTCTGCTGCAGGTTTACCAGAAATCTTCAGGATCAGGTCTCAACAGGACTCAGAGTTTCCAGAAAAGTTCATCTTTTAATCTGCTGATTAAACTTCTTCCTCTGTTACACACACACACACACACACACACACAGACACACACAGACACACACACAGACACACACACAAACACACACACACACACACACACACACACACACTCTCTCACACACACACACTGACCGTCCCATCTTATTGGCCAGGACACCAAACAGGTTTGTTCCTATCAGGTAGGAGATGCTGGCAGGAAGGAAGGCCATACCTGTAGGGTAGGGAGGGGGGAAGAGGAGGGAGAGGAGGGAGAAAGAGGGGGGAGGGAGGGAGAGGAGGGGAGGGAGTTTAAGTTTTATTTATTTATTGGGTTTTTTTGTATTTATTTTGGTTTTTTATGCTTTTATTTTGATAGGACAGACAGACAAAAGAGGGCTGCGGTAGGGACTACAGGGGGCGCTGTTTATAGGACACACTGACAAATCTATAAACAGAAGTACTTAGAGTAACTGAGTAAATGTACTCAGTTACTTTGGAAGAGGAACGTACCAAGTTGCCATTTAGGGGAGCACATCGTCTGCATCATCCAGATCGGAAGAGTCGGCTCCAATATCGCTACACCCATATTAGCAAAACACAGAGAACCTGCAGACAGACAGGGAGAGAGACAGGGAGAGACAGCAGAGAGACAGGGAGGGAGAGACAGAGAGAGACAGGGAGAGACAGCAGAGACAGAGAGACAGCAGAGAGACAGAGAGAGACAGCAGAGAGACAGGGAGAGACAGGGAGAGACAGAGAGAGACAGGGAGGGAGACAGGGAGAGACAGAGAGAGACAGGGAGAGACAGGGAGGGGGAGACAGGGAGAGAGAGGGACAGACAGAGAGACAGGGAGAGAGAGAGAGAGACAGACAGAGACAGAGAGACAGACAGACAGCTGTATATCAACCTCCTGTCTCACTGTGATTTATATGCAGAGATCAATACTATAAAGTCCTGATTAATTAAACTATATTGATCCTTTCATTCTTGTTTAAGAGCTCCCAACATAATATATAGTTTATATCCTCAGTTCTTTATGAACAGTAAACAGATTGTTTACAAACAAACAAACAGTCCCGAGGTCGTCTCACCTGCACTGATGAGGATGTACGGGTCCTTTAACAGCGTCAGTAACGGGGTCCCCTCCACACTCTGAAACACACAGACTGAAACTGCTCACACTGGACCACTACAGACCAGAACCAGACCAGAACCAGACCAGAACCAGACCAGAACCAGACCAGAACCAGACCTCAAGACCGGATCAAACCACAGCAGAACGAATCACAACGGATCAGACTGGATCAGATCCTGTCAGATTAGATCACATGAGACTGGATGGGACCAGATCAGGTGGTTCTGAAGTGGACTCACCCCGGGAGAGATCTTCGACGGCTGCAGGATGAACATCTGTAACGCTGCAACACAAACACACAACAACAGTGTGTACACAGGAGGTCACAGGTTCAAACCCCGTCAGACAGCTGGTAAATGAGTCTATCGATCAGCTTATTGATTAATGAATTATATCAAACTTCAGTACAACAACAACAACAACAACAACAACTCCTGCGAGCTGTTTAAGGAAATCTGATCCTTATGTTGGAGAACAGATTTTATACACACAAACATTAGGAATCAAACACAGAATCAATCAACCTGTAGGGGCGCCAACAAACCCCAGCTCTTATATAATGTTCATTAAAGTCACTGATACACAATCAATACGTTTATTTGTTTACCTCCATCAAACACAGCCAGGAAGGCCAGAATCAGGAAGGGGGCGCTCTTCCCCACAAACTCATACATCACACTGCCGAACGGAGCCCCGACTGAAACAGGAAACACACACACGGCATTTAGAGTGATGCATGATGGGAACGATGGACAGGAAGTGTGTGTGTGTGTGTGTGTGTGTGTGTGTGTGTGTGTGTGTGTGTGTGTGTGTGTCTCACTCAGGACTCCCATAGCCAGTCCTCCCAGTGCGATGCCCATGGCGATGCCTCTCTCCTCATCATTTGTGTACACACTCGCCAACATACCCAGACCTGCACACACACACACACAGTACACACACACACTACACACACACACACACACACACACACACACACACACACGTGTTTACAGACTGATTTCTTCTTCGGTGGTGTTTAACACTGATTGTGGACAGAATATTTGGTCGACCTGCCACTGAGGAGAAAGAAGAGCCGATTCCCTGCAGAGAGCGAGCGAAGAACAGCAGAGCGTAGGTCCCTGAGAACGCAAACACTGACACACACACACACACACACACACACGCGATTAGACAAAACACTGAGTGAGTGTGTGTGTGTGTGTGTGTGTGTGTGTGTGTGTGTGTGTGTGTGTGTGTGTGTGTGAGACTCACTGATGGTCGACACAAACATGATGATGAACCCAGCAAACATGGGGATGTGATAGCCGACCCTGCAGAGACACAGTCACACGTTCATATCAGCGTTACGAATAATAATATTACAGTAATAATGTTTCCTTAGTTACTAGTAAAGTAATTAATTTCTTATAAATGTCAGTAATAATATTACATATAAAAGTAATTAGTTACTAATTAATCACATCCTTGGAAAACTAGCTCGGAAGATGAAACGCTAACGAAATATTCACATTACTTTAATTTTAACAAACAAAACTGGATATTGTGGAGCAGTAATGTAACTATTAGTGTAACTAATTACTAATAAAGTTATTAACGTTATGCCGTCTCATACTGACTAACCACAGAGAGATTTTTTACATAAAATAATAAAAACAGTTACTTCTCTCAGAAGTAATTCCAATTACTACCTATAAAAGTAATTAGTTACTAGATAAAGTAACGTTTGTGTTACTTCTGCTTCAGTTCTCGTATTAATGCTGTCAGATATTTTATTTTAGTGTCGCAGTGGAACGAATGTATCTGGTTATTAATACCGACCACCAGAGGGCACTCTGTTGCTGTAGTGGATATAAAAGTGAGAGTACAGTAATGTGTTACTTTATAACGGGTTACTCCGAACATTGATCAGAACTCATCGATTCTTTGGAGCTGATAATGGAAGCAGAAGACGTAGATTACGCAGCGGGTCTATTTTATCGCATTAGGCAGATCACACTGACAGGAAGTAGCACAGAGAATCTGGTAGGTAAAATACCGCGTGCAGACTGCGGGTCGAATTTCATACTAGATCAACAACGTGTCACCAGACAGGAAGTAAGTCCGTCAGTGGAGATTTAAAAACAGAAACACACCTCTTTGTAAGTAAACAACGTTTGGCAGCAACGGTCGGATGATGGATCCGAACCACATCACAGACGAGACATTATAAAGCCGTCTTGTTTCCTTTGTTGCACATGCTCAGTACCAACGTTCAGCCAATCAATGAGTTCAAGTGTTACACAATCTGTAATCGCAGCTCAGGTACCCAAAGTCTCAAATGAACATTATCATCAACTCTGTTTCCATCCAACGTTTGTGATGTGATACTTCCAGAACCAGAGCCACCAGGTGCTTCCTGTCAGACCGGGACAGCGTCTGTGCTGGGAGTCGGTAGTTTACCTGTGCTGGGAGCCGGTAGTTTACCTGTGCTGGGAGTTGGTAGTTTACCTGTGCTGGGAGCCGTAGTTTACCTGTGCTGGGAGTCGGTAGTTTACCTGTGCTGGGAGTCGGTAGTTTACCTGTGCTGGGAGTCGGTAGTTTACCTGGGCTGGGAGTCGGTAGTTTACCTGTGCTGGGAGCCGGTAGTTTGTAGTTTACCTGTGCTGGGAGCCGGTAGTTTACCTGTGCTGGGAGCCGGTAGTTTGTAGTTTACCTATGCTGGGAGCCGGTAGTTTACCTGTTGGTGAGCGGGCCGACGAATGGGTTGACGAGCAGCTGGACGAGAGCTTTAGAGGCAAACAGCAAACCAACACGAACGTTTTCCTCCTCCAGAAACAAACTGTCCTGAAGACAGGAGGACTCCTGCAGGAGAGAGGAGAGCATGTTCAACCACCTGTGAGCTCTGATCCGACAGGTAAACATCCTCCTCCACCTACTGCAGTCTCGTTGGGCTGCAGGTCTGTGGTTGAGCTGGTCTGGTCTGTGGGCTCAGCGTCGGCGGTCGGTTCAGTCCGGATCTCCTGCAGACTGAAGGTGGCGTTGTCGAACAGGGACACCAGAGGAGGGAAGCTGGGAGGAGGCCTCTGCTCTGGCTGTGTGTCCAGGACCGGTGCACTGCGGCTGGGCTGAGGGAGCTGTGAGGTCTGGAGGTTTGACGTGGGGGAGGGGGACTGCGAGGGCACCGTGCCCAAGCGTGGTGCACCGTGGCTGGGCAGCGGGAGCAGGGAGGGCTGGGCGGTCTGAGGCTCTGGACTGGGATGCTCCATGGCGTAGAGGAACGTCGGGATGATCGGCACTGAGGAGGAAGATTAATGACTATAATTGGACTTTAAATTTCCCAACTCGTCGCTGCTACACTCTCTGAATAACCTGACTCAGAGTCACTGACCTCTCAGGCTGCTATAGAATGATTTCCTCCCCTTTATAAATAATCTGTATGACTAACTATCAATAAATAAATAAATAAATAAATAAATAACACAGCTGAACATAATATAATATAAAACCGTCTGAGGAGAAAAGAGCAGAGGGAAGATTTCACCTGATAACAGACCGAAGGAGACAACTGTGAACTGAGAGTGCAGGATTTAAAGTTCAGGATCAGGAGGTCGATGTGTGTGTGTGTGTGTGTGTGTGTGTGTGTGTGTGTGTGTGTGACCTCTGCAGGCTTTACATTCAGCTCTGACTCTAACTGCTGACGACAGCTTTGACCTCCAGGTTTTTAGTTGCGTCACAGATCTGTTTCTGTTTCCAGCAGCTGAGACTCTGCTAGAGGAACATCAGAGGACCGTCTGAACAACAACAACAACTGTAGTAACAATAATAATAACAATAATAATAATAATAATAATAATAATAATAATATAATAGTCTGAATACAACACCTGGACAATAGTATGTGGACAGCTGAACACATACTATGTCTGATGTCCACCTTGACGTCCTTGATGAGAAGTTTTCTGTCTCATCGTCACTTCCTGTTTCCACAGTGAACTTTATATTTCTTTACTGCTGTTAATAATAAATAAAAACCCAGAACAACCTCCTGCTGCTCAACCTTTGATGTGACGTCACACCCACCTCGCACTGGGATTGGTCAGCTGTGTGGCGGTGAGAAAGTGGGCGGGTCTGAACGTTTGAACTCCAGATTTAAACAACATGTCGTTCTCTGAATGACGTCGAGGACGGAGGAGACGCAGTTATATAACTTCCCCACCTCAGAGCTCCACAGTCATGGTGATGAGGGTGAATGGCTCCAATGTTCTGGCTCTGTGTGACTTCGGTCTCCGGGTCAGAGACTGCCACGCACCACCAACCGTAGGAGCCATTTTATATGTTCGTTAAAGAACTACAAGGCGTTAAAGATGATGTAATCTGTCAGTGTGACTGATTCTGGATGCAGAGAAGAAATTATTTTTATTCTGAGTTTGTTTTCACTTTAGATTTCTTTACTTTTATACTTTGTCTACATGCAGCGCATCTGTGTGTGTGTGTGTGTGTGTGTGTGTGTGTGTGTGTGTGTGTGTGTGTGTGTGTAGTGTAGATAGATAGCTAGATAGACTTTATTAATCCCCAGAGGGAAATTGGGTAAATTATTGTTAATTAATTAATTAATTATTATTAATTGGGTGTGTGTGTGTGTGTGTGTGTGTGTGTGTACTCACCAACCACAGTCAGCAGCATGTTGTCGAGCAGCAGAGCGACACAAACAACCACCAGGACGAGTCTGGGAGAACCTCGACTCTGATGGAGCCACGCCATGTCTACACACACACACACACATACACACACACACACACACACACACACACACACACACACACACACACACACACACACTAATGAAACACACTGTAATGTTGATTGACGTGAGCTGAACCGATCACATCATCTGCAGCCGATCAGCTTCATTCATTAAAGTCTGTGTAAAGTAAATTCAGTGATTGTTCTAAAATAGTTGTTGGACCATGAAACACTTTTACATTCAAACATTTTATCGACTCAGACCATCAACAGTTTGTTCCTTTATGTTGTGTAATAATCAATATACAGGATGAGCTTTAATCTCTCAGCCTTCCTGTAACCGTCCTCTCTTCTTTACGTCAGCAGCGTCGTTTTAAAGCTCACATTACATCCTGTTACTGATGGCGGGATCACGTTGCATTGTGACTCTTTATTCTCTTTTTATTGAAAAAGAAATTCTCCATCCAACATTTTACAGTCCCGTACTTTATTTTGAACAGAAAATAAGAGATTTAAACTGACTTTATATAATCTAATATATGGAGATGGTCCAGTCTGGAAGTCAACCTCTGCTCAACCTTCAGTCCGAGGGATGTTCGATATTTAACACTATCCGCCAATAATGTTTATAATAATGAATCATCTGGCACATATTAATACATAATAATAACAACATTAATTATCATAAGACTTAATGTATGAAGGTCAAAGTGTTTTTGTTTTTGATGAACTTTACTAGAATTATAAATAAAGAGTCAGAAGTCAGTTGGAATATTAAATCTGGAGCTTTTTTCTGATGGATACACAATAAAAGTTATTCATTTTTAATTTAAATAAAAACTTTGATGCCTTAAAACTCTATAGCAAGCTCAGTGTTTGGCCCGTACAACGTAAACACAGCTAGCTTAACTGGATTAATGGACCAACAGAGAAATGAATGAAACTGAACAGTCGTTGTGTTTCTGTAATAAAGAGAGAGCTCCTTCATATCACATCTGATCTTTAATAAAACAACAAGACGCTCGGTTGTTATCAGACGCTCCAGATATTAGTCTGAGCCCGCACACTCAACCTCCACCGCTGTAACACAACCTCTGATCTGGAGTCAGTTTCTCTCAGAAGAGATTCAACCAGTTTTATCCTGAATTAAAACTTTATTGATCCTCTGACTTTCACTCTGGCGCCATCGTCAGGTCGACATTTGAACGTGTGAACTAACGACATTCCCATCAGCCTCGGCTCTACTTCGCTGCCCGATCGGTACTTTCATCATCAGCTCCGGATGTTTCAGAATGTTATTGATTAATGGAGTTAACGTCTCCTGGATGCAGTCGGATGCCGTAAACGGTAAAACGCTGCAAAAACGGTATCGATGCAAAACCAAAAACACACAAAGAACAAAAACAACTGCGAGAGAGAAACGCTGCAAATTCTAAAGGGGGAGTTAAAACTAACGTTAAATAAGATCGATAATAAGATAGGTTTATCTATCAGTAAACATACTGTGTGTAGCAACAAGCACAATCTTCAGAAAACTTTTTTTTACATTTAAAATCCCGCCAGGAAGTCACCAAACTCACTTCCTGTTTCTGTTTATGTCCAAACATTTGATTTTATTCTCACTGGAACAAGTTGCCTTAGAGTTTAATGAATTACACAAAATAATTCTCACTTTTTCATTGCATATAGATAGAAACAGCAAATCAATCAATCAATCAATCAATCAATCAATCAATCATATAGGGACGGATTAATGCAGATAAAGAGGCAGCCATCTTGTTTCCTTCTGGTCTCGGTTGAGAGTCGCACATGCTCAGTAGGGATCAGACAGGATGTGTCTCAGTTGCTGCTACATATATATTTATATTTATATATTTATATATTATATATATATATATTTATATTTCATCTAATGATTATTATAAGTTGATCAGATATTGATCAAATATTACAAATAAATGGACAAAAACTTTGATGTTTGTTTTTAGATTTTTCCGAATGTGAGCTGTTTGTTTATTGTTTACTGTTTACTGTTTACTGTTTACTGTCTGTCTGTTCTGACTGCTGATTGTTTTAGAGGCTCTTTCCTCCCTCGCTAACAGGGTTAACACACACACACTCTTTTATTCTCTTATCTCTCTCCATCTCGTTTGCTCTCTCTCTCTCCCCCCTCTCTCTCTCTGTCTCTCTCTCTCTCTCTCTCTGTTTCTCTCTCTCTCTCTCCCCCCTCTCTCTCTCCATCTCTCTCTCTGTCTCTCCCTCTCTCTCTCTCTCCCCCCTCTCTCTCTCTCTCTCTCTCTCTCTGTCTCTCTCTCTCTCTCTCTGTCTCTCTCTCCCTCTCTCTCCCTCTCTCTCTCTGTCTCTCTCTCTCTCTCTCTCCCCCTCTCTCTCTGTCTCTCCCTCTCTCTCCCCCCTCTCTCTCTCTCCCTCCTCTCTCTCTCTCTCTCCCTCTCTCTCTCTCTCTCTCTCTCTCTCTCTCTCTCTCTCTCTCTCTCTCCCTCTCTCTCTCTCTGTCTCTCTTTGTCTCTCCTCTCTGTCTCTCTTTCTCTCTCTCTCTCTCTCTCTCTCTCTCTCTCTCTCTCCGTCTCTCCCTCTCTCTCTCCCCCTCCTCCTCTCTCTCTCTCTCTCTCTCTCTCTCCCTCTCTCTCTCTCTGTCTCTCTCTCTCTCTCGGTCTCTCTCTCTCATTTGATGGAAAATTGATGTGAAATTTAATTTAGTCTGTGAATCTTTAGTTTGACGCAGCAGAGAAACGAACCTGCAGATTCTCTCTCTCCTTCTCTCGTTAATTCAAAAACAAAAAACAAATAAAAGAAACGTTGCTGATCAGTGATCAATACATGAGCCAAACAGATAATCAATGCACATACAGGGTTTCATCTTCTGAATGCTGGAATAAAACCAAATAAACCAAATATAATGAAAACAATCACAAATAAAATAAAGAAAGCTCAACATATATATTTATATTGATACCATAAATCAATAAAATAATACGAAATATAAATAAATAAAATCAACTGATAAACAAGCTTAACTGAAACAAAGCATTTAAGAAAATAAAAGCTCTCCATATTTAAGAATTTCAACCTATTTTTAAGGAAATTTCCACTAAAACTGAACAAAATAAAAGCTCAAACTTCAAAATAAAACCTGAACTTCCTGATTTGTTTTTAAATCTAAATGTATAAAATAAAAGTCATAGCAGTGAGAGACAGACAGGTGGGTCCTACCTGGACGACTGATGCTCTTCTTCTTCCTCCAGCTGCTGACGGACAGATTATATATCTGACCTGAGGGGAGGAAGAGGAGGAGGAGGAGGAGGAGGGGGAGGAAGAACGTTTCCTCTCTTTTATTCTGATAATGATAAAAACAGACAATATGGAGACACAATCACGCACACATCTACACACTAACAACGCAAATGATACACCCTCTGACCTGTGTGTGTGTGTGTGTGTGTGTGTGTGTGTGTGTGTGTGTGTGTGTGTGTGTGTGTGTGTGTGTGTGTGTGTGTGTGTGTGTGTGTGTGTGTGTGTCAGTAATTGTGAGCATCTGCTGTCCTTTTATTGAAGCCCTGGAACAACCTGCAGGCTGGAGATCTTATCACACACACACATCTACACACACACACACACACACACACAGACACACACACACACACACACACACACACACACAGGTCTGTTTACACTGCCGTTCTCTCTGTATGACGTGTTTATGTGTGTTTGCTCATACATGTAGTCACACTCTGCACATACGAGCAGCTGGAGGAAATATTCAGTAAAAGTAAAAATACTCAGCGCTCACGAGTAACTAGTTGCTTTTAAAAAGGAGTTAAGTAATCAGATTACAGTGTTAATTGTAATCAGTTACTGAGAGAAAAGGATTAAATTACCAATCACAATGTGTTGTGGTGGAGAAACATTGTTCTTTAACAACTTAGACTTGTCTGATTGTGCTTTAAGATGGAAATCGTTAGCTTCCTTGTTAACTAGCTGCAACCCAGCCACACTGAATAACGTCATCTGGTGACGGCCGACCCGTAACACCAGCTGACCGGGTAACCTGCAGACAGCCAGATCAGCTCCGTCTGGATGAAGATAACAGACAGTATTTTGCTACTTCTGAGAAGAACGTGAACCTCCAACCACATTTTCAGTCGTCATCATTCATTGATTGGATTTATTGATCCTTCACACAGGAGAAACATCATCGTCAGGCTGAGCCAATCAGAGGCAGAGAAGGTCTTCACCATGTTAGGATTAGATTAGATAGATAGATCACAGTTTCCAGCAGTATCCACAAACTGATAATAATAATAATAATAATAATAATAATAATAATAATAATAATAACAATAACAACAACAACAACAACAAGAGGAGGTCAAATTTAAAAGAACTAATAAAATAAAGTAGAATAAATAGCTAAACAACGAGCATTGGGTGAGTGTCCTAAGGTGCATAAGTAGGTGGTCACATGATGCAGGGTGCACTGCGTCCTGAAGAACAGGAAGCATCATTCTAATATAGAAATTACTCATCAAATTTCCTCCAAAGATTCAGTTTTACCGCCTTGTCTTGTTTCTGAGGATATAACTGTCCTGTGATTGGCTGGGACACCTGTCAATCAAACACCTGGACACAGGTAACACTCTCTTCAGAATGACCACGCCCCCTTCTGGGTGAAACAAGCTTTATAAGTGCTGAGTGGAACTATTATCAATCAATGAAGGACAATAAAAGATCTGTCTTTAATCCACAGAGAGGATGAAGATGTCCAACTCTTCCTCACAGGTTAGTTAATGACAGACAGTCAGTGAGTGTGTCTGTGTCCAACTCTTCCTCACAGGTTAGTTAATGACAGACAGTCAGTGAGTGTGTGTGTGTCCAACTCTTCCTCACAGTGTTAATGACAGACAGTCAGTGAGTGTGTCTGTGTCCAACTCTTCCTCACAGGTTAGTTAATGACAGACAGTCAGTGAGTGTGTGTGTCCAACTCTTCCACAGGTTAGTTAATGACAGAAGTAGTGGTGTGTCTGTGTCCAACTCTTCCTCACAGGTTAGTTAATGACAGACAGTCAGTGAGTGTATCTGAGTCCAACTCTTCTCACAGGTTAGTTAATGATGTTACTGAGTCAATGTGAGCAGATTGTGTCTGTAGACTGAAGAGAATCAGAGTCTCACTGATGGTGGAAATAAAGGTTTTACTTCCTTAAAACAGCCGTTTTTTGAATGGAGTTTGGTGTGACAGTGTGGAGCAGAGGGGATTTGAACCTTAATAATTCCCATAAACTGAGCTGACCTACCTTCTAATAATGAACCTTGGAAACAGCAGAAAGTAACAGGAAGTGGAGATAAACCCTCCTGTTTTCTTCTTCTGTGGTAGTTAAAGGTAGATTAATGAACACAAACATTAGTTTACAGTCACATTGGACACAAACAGTTGTTTATTGATCAGTAATGACACAACATGATTGCTGGCTGTAGGATGTATGCTCCTAACAGCTAAAAATCAACACAATATTCATATTTTATGCTATTAAACTGGCAAAGAGGTCAGAATTTACATTTACCGCCAGTTAAATTAGAGGAACGGCGTTCACCCAGAAGGGGGCGGAGCTTAATGCAAGGCCAGAGTACCTGGACGGGCTGCTCTCATCTATTCTTCTTTTTACCTCCCCGTCGTCTCTTTATTGGAACAACGATTGTGCTGGATTTGAGCGTTGAGCTGAGATTACTGTTCACCTGTTTGGTGTCGTCATGAAACGGATTCACTTCTGTCTGTTAATCAGCTTTAATGACCTGTAAACAGCCTCACATCCGCCCGCCTGACAGAGACAGCTTCAGCTCTAATGAGTCTTTATCAAACCACATAAAGCAAAACCACACACACCACACACACACACACACACACACTGATCAGACAGCTCTACCTGTCTCGTGGCTCCAGGTGTGTTTTAATCTCTCTGTGGTCTCTGCGGTGTCACATATCAAACGTCCCGCCTCACCTGAGGCCGCGAGGCTTCCAGGAAGGAAGCGAAGGCGGCGCTGTCTCCACTGACTGATGCGGTCGAGCTTCAAACGCACCTTCAAAACTTCTGAGAGACAGGCAGCTGAAAGAGGATGGATCAGAGGGGAGGCGAGGGGTATAAAAAACGCACCTGAAGGCAGCAGCCAGGCGGAGACAGACGGAGGATCAGACAGTCTGAAGACTTTCTGCAGAGCTGTTATTTATTCTCTCTAAAGCAGCAGGTAGATCTTCTGATAACCGATCAATCATTAGACTGCAGGACCAACTGAAAGAGTCCGTTTAGGAAGAATAAAACTGATAAAACCTGCAGGTAAGAGCAGAGAGTCTGCAGGTGTCCTCCCTCAGAGTGAGAGCAGGAGGCGATCCAGTGATTGATAGCTGATAGAGGAGTGATTGATCGATCGATTGGAGGATGTGGATGTGGCGTAGCTTCCTGTGTGTGTCTCTGGTTTGTGGTCTGGCTCTGGACTCAAACACCATCAGATCCTCCAAAGAGACGACGGCGCAGAGCTCCGAGCAGCCGGTAAGAGCAACAACACTTCACTGTGGTATGAATACTGTCTGTGTGACCGCTGGAGCTGCTGGTTCTGGTTCCAACTGGCTCCAAGAACCAGGACCTGCTCTCACCAGTTCATATAGAGTAGAAAAACATCCCATGATGCCGGTTTGAGATGTTTCCCGTCAGACGCTGAGGTCGAGCATTCGGTTGTTTCCTGTTGATTTCCTCCAGATATGAAGTCTTGTTGTTGTTTGAAACCCGGCTCAGTCGTGAACCAAATGGGCCTGAGCACGCTGCCCTGAGGGGCTCCGGTGTTCAGCACTAGAGTGGGGAGGAGGGTCTGGGGTCTGTTTGTGAGGAAGTCCAGTATCTGGGGTCTGTTTGGGAGGAAGTCCAGTATCTGGGGTCTGTTTGGGAGGAAGTCCAGTATCTGGGGTCTGTTTGGGAGGAAGTCCAGTATCTGGGGTCAGTGCCTGCAGGATCTCACAGACTGTTGTGGTTTAAGTGCTGCTGGCTCCGATGGTTGGACAAAAGGCTGCACAGGGACCGAGTCCTGCCAGGTCGGGGGGCAGTGCAGAGGCATCCTCTGTGGATCTGTTGGGTAGTGGTTCAGAATAGATGCTACGGTCTCTTCTGCGTGTGGTATAAATTATTTTGGCCTCATATATTTGAATATTTCTGCTCACGTGGGTTCTTAAGTCCACATTGAGGTAGATCTTCTGGAGGTGGAGGAGACTTTATGATGGAGGAAAGTCTGTGTTGTGACGGTTTTAACCATATTAGAGAGAAAGGTAGAAACATGTTGGATGTTATATTATGAAGACACTCGTTATAGTGAGCTCTTCAAAGCCACCAGACTCCTTTGATAATACAGTCATTTAACTCTCAGAGAACGCAGGTTTCTGGTCTCCTGCTGCCTCCATCGGTTGGTTTCTTTGTGATATTGTGTGACTTTGTTCATCTGGATCTGAACTAACGTTAGTTGCTGCACTTCGAGGCAGAAACTCCTTTGTTCTCTGAGTTAAAATGTTTTTATCAAAGGAGTCCGGTGGCTTTGAAGAGAGCACCGATGGGGCAGTAGTGGTAGAATACGAGTATCAACAGCACCGGTATTTATAGTGTGAATAGTAACAGAAACAACAGTATATATAATATATAATAACAGTACTTTGCTTTAGTTAGTTTTAGATATATCAGTAGACATACCTTCAGGATTTAGTGAATTTAGTACTTTAACCTCTGTTTCTAGCTGTTAGCCTGCTGCTAACACTGTTGGTGCTCCTCCCTGACTGCGTAGATTTAGTGTAGATATGTGTTCATAGACGTATTTTAATACCTGAGGTCCTAAATGTGACGTCACTCCGACCTGTCCATCAGGATCGTTCCCATGGCGACCAGGTGGAGCGTCCTGTGCGGCGCCGGACGGACACGAATTTCAACTCCCGTCGAGAATCACCGCCTCCATGTTCTACACCTGACTGCCATGTACCCCAGGTGAGTGACAGACAGACAGAGAGACAGACAGGGTCAATCACAGGTCATTGTTATAAATGTGTGAGATCAAAGATTTGAATATTCGATCTGTCTATCAGAGGGGAAGCTGCAGTAACCGAGCTCAGAGGAGACCATCCTCCCAGGACAGACAGGTGGACAGACAGGTGGACAGACACAGAGACACAGAGACAGACGGGCAGAGCAACACCGATGGCTTCAACAGAACAAAAGGTGAGTGATTGGCAGTCAACTACGAGTCCCAGAGTGCACTGCTGTGAGAAACAGCCAATGAGACAGTTTAAATAAAATATATGAACCATTTTATTTAAAGAACTTTCTATTTTATGCAACTTTATACTTTCCGTGTTGATGTTGAATGTTTTGTGATAAACCCTGACAGGACAAACATATGACGATCTGATGAGAATATAAACTACCAACAGTTTATAAAGTACATTAAACATCTACAGCAGGAACCTGTAACACACATATTAATACAGCAGGAGTCCAATAGTGGAATAATAAAACATTTTACTGCACTACGAGTACCGTAAAACTTATAATAATAGCCTAGCCATTTATTTGCTTAAAATCATTGAACTCCCCCTGCCTTTATTGGGGACAGGCCTCTATTTGGGACAGGCGTTTAATTCCTTTAGCAAAAAACTAAACTAAACTCTAACTGCTGCTTCTGTTGAGTTTTCTTCAGCAAATTTGACAACTAACATGACGATGATGATGCTTCAGAGGTTTTTTCCCGTCTCTCTTGTTTACCACGTTACTGAATGCGAAACGAAATGCGAATTTGCGTAAAATATAGTGAACGATTGAATTGTGGAGAATCTAACTGAATATTGACAGAAGTTTAAACATATATATTTGTGTAAGAGATCAAAACGACTTTAAACTCACACAAGCAGCGACCCGGTGGGTTTTAAGAGGTTTTATACATCAAGATAATTTCTATAAAATCCAGACGAGGCCTCTATTAGAGACCTGCGTTTATTTGTCAAACCGGGCTTTTAAAAGAGACCTGCGTCTATTAGGGACCCTGCTTTTATTGGAAGTTTTACGGTACTTTAAAGGTTTTATACGACATTAGACCACTAGATAGAGGATCCCTACAGAGATAGACCTTTAGTTTAACCACAAACAGCCGTAATATCACTGTCACTCTCCACCAGACTCCAGAGACAAAAACACTCATTTTACCTTCAGATCATCAGAACTTCATTCAAAGTGGACACAAACAGAATAAAACTCAGAGGCTGCGATACAACACAGGCAGAGGGAGAGAGACACCATGTGACTCTGTATATAGAGAATATAATGTTTAATATCTCATATATATAAAGTAAAATCTGTAAGGGGAATACTTACATACTTTTACTTTAGGAAGGTTTTGAGTGCAGGACTTGTACTTGTAGTGGAGTATTGAGTAATCTGAGTTCTTCCTCCAGTAATAATATGTGAATCTCTTGCAGCTCCAGAGATGTCGAGCTGTGTGCGGTCAGGTGACTGTGCGGCCGGTCTGTGCTGCGTCCGGTATCTGACCGGTAAACGGTGTCAGAGGATCCCGGTGGAGGGCGAGGCCTGTCTGCTGCGAGGGTCCACCAAACTGAGGAGGAAGCTGGGACGCTGCGACTGCGACGCAGGGCTCACCTGCACCGCCGTCAGCCGGGCGGAGGCAGGGAAAGCCAAGGGTCAGGGGGTGTGTCAACCCCGCCAACGGCAGGGCCAGAGGACAACAAGGCATTCTGGGAAGAAGAGGAGGACGGCGGAGAGAAGCTGCTGACACATTCATGATAAACTCTGTAGTATTTGTACACATTTAATTTAAAGCAGTTTGTAGAAAATAAGGTTTGAACCTGAAAATGGTCTCATGGTCGAGGGTCAGGTGATCACCTCTGGCCGCCATGTTGGAGGTCCTCCCTGTAGATAGCGTTAGCTTTGTTGTGAGACGAAGGTTTCCCGCCAAATGGACTCTCGGAGGAGGAGAGCTCGCTGATGGTCGGGTTCCTTCAGTAAAAGTTTAAATATATTGTGTAATTAAAGTGAATTAAAATAAAGAGACTCTGATACTCTGACTGTTTCTCTTAATGTTTGAACTCAAAGAGGAAAATATAACTTTATTTATTTGGTGGTTGAATCAGGATTCAAACATTCAGAGTGATTAATTCCAGATCACATTTATCACATTTATCACATTTATCACATGTTCTTAACGACAGCATACTGATAATGTGAAACACCAGGATGAATAATCTTTTTAAAGAACCAGTATCGTATTCTAAACTCTTAGTATAAGGACTGGAGGCAGGGGGAAACAGCTAGCCTTAATGTCACTGTCTGAAATCACTCACTATTTACTACAGAAATATATAATATAATTATATATATTATATATAATATAATTAATATAACATAATATAATTATATATATTATATATAATATAATTAATATAACATAATATAACATTTTATTTGCCTTTTACGTTAGATAATCTACATCAACTGTTAGCTAACATTAAGCTCATTTAAGATGTGACTTTATGTTTCTTTTATCTTTTAACCATCTTTAAAATGTGGCTCTCTTTTCAACATAGATTAGCTTAGCATATAGCATTTCTAAGTACAGGAAATTATTTTGAAGGCGGTTAAAATACGACAAATATATTGAAGTCTTTCAACTAGCTAATCTACATTAACTGTAGACATATTTCTTAGTGTTTTTATTACTTTTTTCTTTTCCTTTCTAACTTAACGTGAACTCTCTTTGAGTTCTTTGAGAAACGCCGAATAAATTAAATGTATTATTTTTATTATTTATTATTATAACTGTTATCTAACCACAGATGTAACTGGCTATAGGTAACTGATGTAAATTAACTAAGTTAACTAGAGTTTTGCTAACATTAGATAATGTTTAGATGTGACGATATATATACATTTATGTCTTTTATCTTTTAACCATCTTTAAAATGTGGTTGTCTGTCCAACATAGATTAGCTTAGCATATAGCATATCTGAGCACTAACGTAGAGGGCGGATGGATACACTGTTGTTTGTCAAGAAATAGTTCCAGTGTGTGACTTTTAAAACCAAAGACAGTGGGTTCACTTTTCTGTCTCTGTACAGATTAAACAAACCAGATTCAGTCTGTTAGCCAGAGATCTGTCCTGTCCTTATGCTAAGCTAGGCTAACCCCATCCAGCTCCCTCTGTAGATAAAAACGTCTCATTCTAAGGTAACAAAAACACAATGACTCTCGCTGTCAGGTGGTTATACACTAATGAAAACATACCTATGGATATTATATGAATGTGACACACTGGAGCTTTAAGAGCTGCAGTCAGATGAAGTTCAGGATTAGATTAGGATTATTACACTCACAGCTGCAGGTCGTCCTACCAGGAAAGATCTGCTCATTCAAATATTGTAACTGTCTGTAGTCAGCTGATTGGGTAAAGAACATGTCTGTAAATCCTTCCTCACTGTCAGTTGGTCCAATAAACCCGCTCAGGTGATCTGATCAGGTGTGTGTTTGATTGATTGTTGCACCTGTTGGGGCGGGAAGAACTCCACCTGTTTCCTTCAACAAAACACAATTCATACTTTCTGATCATATTTATTGATGTTTAATGGAATTAAAAACATACAATAACAATACAATATCATGTCCCATAATATGGGCCGAGCGATACATCGGGGCCCTAATATGTATTATAATATAACACAGTGACAGGGGCCATTCTGCACACTGCAGCCGGCTTTTACTTTGATATAAGGAGGTTTTACTGATGATACTTTTCTATTTCTACTTAAAGGGAACTTCTGTATTTTCTATCTAACGGACTACTGGGGACAACAATATGAAACACTGACAGCAGTACTGAGAGACAGCGTTATCCTTTGGGCCTGATTGCAGTTAGTCTGTGTGATTGTGTGACTTTGGTGAGTTCAAACTAACGTATTAAAACAGCAATAAATCACACAATAACACAAACTAACTAACAGATTGAAGCAGCAGGCAGACCAGCGTCTGCGCTGTTCTGTGAGCTAAAATGAGTGTTTGTGTCTCTGGAGTCTGGTGGAGAGTGATAGTGATATTACGGCTGTTTGTGGTTAAACTAAAGGTCTATCTCTGTAGGGATCCTTTCCATAATGCTGTCAAACACTGACAATAACAACCTGAGTCTGTCAGTGAGAGAAATGGGGTGTCCAGAGGGGGGCCGAAATATCTGCTGATTTAATCACAAACAATCACATATATCAACATTTAGTTGGAAAAGCCCCCAAATGAAGATATTTGAACTCACAAACATTATTGTGGCACATTATTAAAGCACTGAAATATCTAAAGGAGGCATTGGAAATCAACACATTGTTTGATTGACAAAGATTCTGTCTGTATTCATTGAGTTTAATCTGATCACTGACCCCCCCCTCTAGATCCGTCCCTGTTTTAGTGGACATACTTTGACGGATTATATTGCAGCTGGTTTTGCAGCTGCAGTGCTCTCACTCAGTACTGGACCCATTTTAAAACAGGAGGTCCAGGTTGAAAAACACAGAAGTTACCAGCAGCTTGAATGGACATAAAACTCCTCTGATGTAAATAAGTGACACAATGTGGAAATAAAAGGTTCAAAGTGTTTAAAATGAGCTGTGACAAAATGTGTACTTTGTCTCCATCCTGTGGTGTTTATAGGAAGACAGTGTGTCCATCAATGTGTATTTATCCTCATTTCTGCCTTTCTTTCTCCTCTTTTTAAACTCACATTGACAGATAAATAAAACAACCTCAGACACAAAATTCAGAATAAAAGCTGCTTTTGATTTAATGACACATGTGAATCATCATCCATCTGATGCACATTTTATAAAGCTACAGTTGATTCAGAAAACATCCGATTCCACTAAATAGTTTGCTTTATGTCCATCACCAACTGGACATTTCCACTGATCATTCATGTTATTGACCATATATACACTATAGAACATATTTATCTTTTTATGAAGACGACACACATTAATCCACATTGTGTGAATCATTTCTATCTCATATGAAGAAGCAATGTAAGAATTAAAGACTGAAGCAAAACCAAACTCCATTCAAACAGTTTTACAGAGAGAAATAACTCATCAGAAGAATCAAACACTTCAACTGAAGACTGATTGTTTTAAAAACTGAACCAATGAAAGCACTGGGTACAGTGGATATATACAGCTATACAATGTTTGACTCTAAAAGCAGGATCATTAACGGCTTTAATTAGTAAAGTTTGTCTCCGGATGACTTTTGGATTAGACTTTATATTAAATTGTGGCACAACTTACTCACTCAATCTATTTTTTAAAGCCAAGAAAGAAACATCAGTGTAATCAGATTACTTACAAAACAACATCCACTCATATTTTGTTCAAATGAATGAAAACAGAATATTAAAAGTTCCCAATTCTGACTTTAAACTCAGCAGTGAAAGGAAGGTTTCCCATGTGGCCCTAATCCTCTCCCGTCAAAGACCAGATGATATTATAGAGTCTCAGTATTTATTATTAATCTACTTCCAACTTTATGTTTCTAATGTGACGGAGACAGACACTGAGGTCGGAGGAAACTTTGAATTGTCTTTCAAACTGACGATGAACTTTTGAACTGACAACAACTGGCTGTAAATGTTTGCAGTTTCCTGCATGAAAACCATTTTGGATGATTTCTTTCAGAGCACAGAAACATTTCTGTGACCCTCAACATCAAATCAAATCTGCTCTCAAAGACGAGCAGATCCAGAATGCTGCTTTGGGTCTGAAGTGTGATGATGAGTTTAGAGTCTAATGAACCTCAAACCATCCTGATAAAAAAGGTCAAAGTTAACGATTAACTTTCATTCCTGAACATCAGAGAAATATCAGTTGGACACAGTTTGATATCAGCAGTTTTACCACCAGCAGACTTTCCAATGCTGAAATATGGGAAGATTTTCTCAGTGAAAGTGTCTCTGTGAGTGTAGATGTGAGTCATGTCTTCAGGGTCGTAGAAGGACACCTCCCCCCTGTCGTAGTCCAGCTGGACTCTGATCCTCTGGAGACTCATATTCACTGAGACAGTCTGACTACCTCCATTAGTGTATTCTCCATCACGATGCTTTAAACACCAGATTCCATATTTTGGTGAGGCAAATATCTCCCCTTTCCTGTCAACTGACTCTTTAACCAAACCTATAACCCACCGAGGATAATCTCCCACCTCCACCTCCCAGCTGTGTTTCCCTGAGCTGAAGCCCTCAGAACCATGAAGATCTGCACTAGAAGTGGTTCTCTCTGGATTATCAGGAAGCTTCTTTCTGTCTCCATGTCTCACACTGGTCAGATCATCAGACAGATAGACCCAGGGGGCTGCAGTGTTTGGGTCCAGAATGACAGGACTGAAGTGGACCTTGTCCTTCATCTTCTCCCAGACTCTGAAGGCCAGGTTGCCCAGGTGTTTGGCCTCATCTATCAGCACTCCTGAGAGCAGCTGTGGATCTGACAGTGAGCACTGGACTCTGGCTCTGGTCTGAGTGGGTTTATAACTGCTGAGGAACGGCCCCTCGTGTTTCTGCAGGTCTTCTTCAACAGCAGAGATACTGTCTGACAGAGAGGAGATCTGCTCCTGAATCCTCCTCATCTCTCTGCTGATAGTCCTCCCCTTCTGCTCCTCTTCCTCCCTCAGAGCTGCCAGTCTGGACTCCTCTTCCTCTTTCAGGAACTGGTGGAGCTTGTTAAACTCTGCTCTGATCTGCCTCTCTGTGGACAGCAGCTGCTTCTTGGAGTGTTGAATCACGTCATTGTAGGTTTTCTCCGCGTGTTTGCATTTGTTCCTCTTGTCCTGCAGAGACTTTAAGTCAGATTTCATCTGGTCCTTCAGGTCTCTGACTGCTTGTTCTACAGGAACCACCTTGTGACCGTGGTGATGAGAAAACTCACAGACAGGACACACAGCTCTGTCTTCATCCTTACAGAACAATTTAGGCTCTTCTTGATGTTTACTACACACCACCTCCACCCTCTTCTCTCCTTTCTCTGTCTCAGAGGATCCAGATTTCTGTCTCCCAGCAAACAAGTCAGCCAGATCCTTCAGTGCAAAGTTCACAGGTGGATGATCCTTTGAGTATCTTCTTTTACAAATGGGACAGTTTTTGTTTTTAGCTTGTTCCCAGAACTTTTGCAGGCAGCTTGAACAGAAGCTGTGGTTGCAGGTCAGAGACACAGGATCTCTGAAAGTCTCTGAACACACATGGCAGTTCAGGAAACTTTGGTCGACAGCAATCTTTTCAGCCATTTGATGTGAAAGTTATTTTTCAATAACAGGACTCACCAACTTATCTTCACCTTTCCACTTTATACACTCCAAATGTGTGTTTTCAGCAGATATCTCACACCCTGTAATGTCGTCTAAGCTCTGTTCAACAACGTCTGAATCTACTTTATTTTTAACTTCTCTCTCTCACAGGAGGAAATATTAACAGAAGTGCTGCAATGTTGTTTTTTCACCAGCAGATGGTGGCAGAGTGAAATCTTATCTGTAGGAAGACAGACACACAGAAAGAATGAAAATGCTCATTCCAGCCAATAGGAACCTTCAATTCAATTGAATTTTATTTGTATAGCGCCAATTCATAACAGAAGTTATCTCAGGACACTTCAAATAGAGCAGGTCTAGAGCGAACTCCTTATAACATTATTTACAGAGACCCAACAGTACCACCATGAGCAAGACCTTGGAGACAGCGTCAAATGCAGCACTAAGATCTAATAATACAAGTACAGAGACAAGTCCATTGTCAGAAGCAGTCAGAAGGTCATTATTAACTTTAACCAGAGCTGTCTCTGTGCTATGATGAACTCTAAATCCTGACTGAAAATCCTCAAATAAACTATTGTTATGTAGAAAGTCACACAACTCTTTGGCGACTACTTTCTCCAGAATCTTAGAGAGGAAGGGGAGGTTAGAGATCGGTCTATAGTTTGCTTTAGATTTATAATAAAAGTGTTGATAGATTTCTGATAAGTACGATCTGTTAGCGTATATATTATACTTGCTATGATACAGTGTAGTGTCAGATTAAATGATCACGCCTGAAGTTATTGATACAGATTTTATTCACTGCAGGATTATGATGATCACTGAACACAGAAACTAATTATCTTAATGATTATTTCAGCCTGAATGAGCTGAGCCTCATTTAAAGGACAGAGTCCTGGTTTATCTACAACCCCAAACCTTCGTCCCTCAGGGACCCCTTCATCATAAAACCCTCAGAAGATTTTATAGATATTTTATTTTTAATGAACTAATAACACCCTTTAATCACTATTAACTGCAGGAAGTTTGATTATTTCCAGTGAATATCTGTATTTTTATCGTTTTAACAATCACGGTTGTTCCGACAGATTCACTGTTTATTCTCATTGTTCTTTGGTTTCTGATGCAGGACGAGGCCGTTGATCTTTCAGTAGACTGCGTTCAAACTTTATATAAATTTTAACTTTAGGAATAATGTCATTCACAGAAATTAATGAACTTCTGAGATTTAGTCCTAATGTGGTACATTAAACTCTGACACCTTCAAATGCAGAGCTCACAGACAATATGGAGCACTGGTGACCCTCAGGGTGTTTCAGTGTTTCCATGATAAGACTCCATCTACCAGGACACATGGGAACTGTTTCACTGTCTATTATTTAACAACCATGAACCACAGTCACCTCAGATATTCTTTACCTTCAGGAACCTCCATGTTAACTGTCATACAACCATAAACCTCCATGAACAGGTTTAAAATAAACACAGGTTTCAATTGTCAAGGCAACATTTCTGTTTTATTTTCTTATCCTTTTTTTGACTTAACAAAAAAACCGTTGGGACTTTGTGGAAAAAAACGTTAATGCAAAAGAAACTTTCAAAGGCAAAGTCACAAATGCAGCAACATGATTTCAACAAGAACAGAATAAAAAAAAAGGGGGGACGGGGGTCGGTTGAATCCATCAATAGGAATGTTGAATGGCGGGTGGGGGGTGGGGTCGGAGCCTATAGGGGGCGTGGCTACAGGGCAAGTAGAAAGGGTTAATTCAGCTGCCCGCAGTCGGCGATGGCGATCTTGGCCGAGGTTTTGCCGTTCTGGCTGCCGGCGGCCTCCATCTTCCTCACCACGTCCAAGCCCTCCACCACCTGGCCGAACACCACGTGCTTCCCATCGAGCCTGCAGGCGGACAGACGCCGTTAACGACTACGCTCGCACATCGATCAGGGTTACCTTTAAGTATTTAGTGGCTTTATGAATGTGCATCGTTTCCCGCTCTACGGGGCTCTTACCACGCCGTTTTCTCTGTGCAGATGAAGAACTGGGATCCGTTCGTGTTTGGCCCGGCGTTGGCCATGGACAGGATGCCGGGACCGGTGTGCTTCAGGGTGAAGTTCTCGTCGGCGAACTTGTTGCCGTAGATTGACTTTCCACCGGTTCCGTTGTGGTTGGTGAAGTCACCTCCCTGCAGAGAAACACACATTACTAATAGAGCTCAAACCGACTCAACCGGCTCTGAAACATCCTCCCTGCTGGGTACTGGGAGCCCTCATTAGGGGGTCTGGTTCTGAACTGGTTGTTCCACTGTGATCTCTGGCAGACTACAGTTCAGCTCCAGTTCCTCTGGTTCAAATAAAGTAGAATTTACTTTAAAGAAAATTAATCTTCAAGTCAAAGTGTTTGCTGCACACACATTTATCACTGAATGGATTGATCAGCTGTATAGACTGTGCAGATATGACTGAGACCGTTTCCACTGAGCTTCCCAGAGAAATGTCTGCAGGAACATTTGAGTTGATACCAGAAAGGAGGTGATCTGAGTGCTACTCAACACTACAGACACATTCAGACAGCTGCAGCATTAAAATAGTAAGTGCTCATTTTAAACCTGAGATTTAAACAAGGTCTAAAATCAGGAAATGGCCACCTGGAGTTGAGCTGCACTATATAAATATACAAAGAATTCTCTTGTTTCAGCTTCTCAAACTTTACATTTTATAGATTAAATGAATAAAATTATCTGCAGTTTACAGAAATTGTTGGTTAAATCCTTCAAGTTTGATTTCTGCAACTGTTAATAAATGTTTACTTCTACAGAGATTTTAAAAGCTCTAAAAAAAATCAAAACAAACAAAAAAAAAGAAGCAAATCAAACAGAAGAGCATAAACTGATCACCTGGCACATGAACTGGGGGATGATGCGGTGGAAGCTGGAGCCCTTGTAGCCGAAACCCTTCTCGCCGGTGCAGAGGGCGCGGAAGTTCTCGGCCGTCTTGGGCACGACGTCGGCGTGGAGCTGCAGGAAGACAAACACACCCAGAGTCAGCAGATTGTTGGGAATCAAACACCGATAAAGATTCGGTGAGAGGGTTCAAGTTGTGAAATCAGAAAACAGTCAGTGAATTAACAGTTTGGCTTGTTGCCATCCGGCCCGGAGCCAAACCCAGCACAGGTTTAACAGATACTGTGCACTTTGGTCTCTGGAGGAGGTAAAACCAGCAGCACTTTACTCCAGCGGGTTCAACTCCAACAACAAAGTAAAATCACTTCTTTAATATAGAATCCTACATTATTGGACCCAACAGTGTCGGCTTTATCTCCCTATGTAAATCTCCATCCAAGGTTCAAATATCAGACTGTTTCAGTCAAATGAAGTTCAAGCACACGTTGTAGCCCGCGGGCAGCAGATCCAGCCCGTTACACACACCAGGTTATTCTGTGGTCATGGTGAACCAGGAATGCAGCATTGCACCACGGTGAGCTATCTGCATGCCCCGCACAGCGGTGACGCTACCGTGTAAGTATGTTCAGAGGGAGGGGGCGCAGGGCGTGTGGGGGGGCGCTGCAGTAGACGGGCTGGCATGTGTGAGCGCTGCAGCTGATCTCAGAGCAGCAGTGTGTGCAAGCCTTCCACCTGCTCAGCAGTAACACAACCCAGAGCTTCATAATTCAAGAGCTGTCTGCTGGAGACGCCACGGAGGTCTGATTACCGTTAACTCACCGCACAGAGGCCACAAATTAAAGAGCAGAGCGCCGACTGCTGCGCCCGAGGTACAGTGCAGGGTAAACTCACCACATTATTTTTATATATCTATCTATCTCTCTCTCTCAGGGAAACATAATGATCTAATGCTGTTTGGAGCCTGATGAAGCCTATGGGAGAGTGCACAGTAAAACCCAACATATGATCCTTAATGAAGAGATGCTTCAACTAAAAACACATCACCTAACAGATGATCCAGGTGAGGAGACATTTGCCCTCAGTTGAGTGCAGGTCCTTTATACAGGGGCATTAAACTCACTGTGGCTGTGAGCATTTAAAATGTTGAGTTTAGATTAAATAATGTGATCGTTTCATTCAGTGGCATCTGTTGATTAAAGTCTGTTGGTTTTATTGTTCCTCCATAAACTGACACCAAGCAGCATTAGACTCATTTTACACACTTTATAACGGGAACGCCCATATTTGGTCACAGCTTCTATTATGTGCACAAAATGGCTGGATATGTTAGCTAGCATGCTAACGGACTGTAGCTTGCAGTTGGCTGCCGTTAAAAAACGAGCGGGAATAAATAATAACGGCGCCATTGTTAGACTGATAATTATGTAACATTCACTGTGGGCACAAAGAACTAACAAGGTATCATGGTGGCTGCGGCCATCTCCCTACATCCGCATTTCTTACCCTGCAGCCCCCCCCCCGCTGCTCCTCCCCCCCCCCCCCCCACTGTGGAACTTTCCAGAACTGAACAGGAACCGGTGCAGTTAGCTTCGGTGGCTAACATGCTAACCGCCGCGGGACGTACATTTGGTACATTCTACGGTGAACTCCCGCCAAACTGTACCCAGAAACACAACCGGCGGCCCGCGCGCCGCGGCGGTGCTTGTTAACGGTAGAGGAGCTTTTCCCGGGCTCGGCTGAAGGCCGCGAGACGCTGCAACAAAGAACAGCGCGAGCCGCACGCTGTAGTGTGCACGAGCTGCGTCTGTATGTGCGCAGAGCGTTCTGTTAGCATTAGCTCACCCGTTAGCATCAGGTCAGCCGTTGGCCAGCGGCGGCGAACTACTGCCCGGGAAGGGTGACTCTTTACGGCTCTAACACGGGCCTTTAATGGGCCTCAGCATGGAGCTAATGTTACAGTTATAACAACAAACACATGAACGCCATTTTGTTCCATCTACAATGACGGAATTGGATGATTAACGTCACCTGATCGATTCTGTGACACGCATTAACATCACTAACGTTACAGTTTAAGTGTGAATAATCTACATCCGCACTGACGGGAACATCCGCATTGACGGTAACAGCGGGAGGTTCCGTTATCCGGTCCGTTAGCTCGCCCCGCACCGCGCGGAGCTGGCTACCGGCCACATACACGTGCACATGCTCCATTCAACACAATCGTGACAGCTCGGCTAGCATTAGCTCCTGGATGCTAACGGCGAACTACAGCTAGCAGCGGAGCCGTCTGACAGCGAGCACTCTCCGGTACAAACTGCATCACAGAGACCGCTTTACCTCCATCACAACCCGGCCCATGGGAGAACCGTTGGAGGTGACATCGAAGAAGACTCTAGGCTTGGCCATTGTCAGCAGGCTGAACTGGAGAAGGTGGACTGAACGGTTTTCCGGCGAGGGGACACGGGTGGCCACAAGGATCCGAAAAAGATGGAGGTATGAGGATTAAGTTTATATAAGACGCCGGTGGGCGGTGTCAAATCACAGCCAGCCAATGGGAAACGCCGTCGTGTGTAACTGACGCGTGTTTTAGCGAATCAGCAGCCAGAGAAGCCGAACCGCCCTTTTCACTGGCCGCTGACTGGACGGACGGTTCCCGGTACATCAGTGGACCTCTCCGAGCGGCGCGAGCCTGCAAACACCGCCCCGTTCCCGGTCGGAAAACTTCAGCTCGCGAGTCCCGGAGCAGCAGCGCGCGCCGCCGACCGTTGACAGCTGCGTTGTCCAATGCGTGCACGCGGTGGGTAAAGACCCGCAGTCAGCGCGCGTGCCCGCGGTCAGGGAAAAAAATGTGGGTGCGCGGTCCCGCGGTCAGGGCGCGGTCCGTCCGGTTCTCCTCAAACAGAGAAGTTCTCAGAGGAAGTTCCAGAACCAGCGACGGTGACCCGGATATAGTCCGCTGTAAGAGTCCACACACATCCTAACTGTAGCCCAGTGGTTCCCAACACACACAGTTTATATCATTATTATTGGAAACTCATCTCCGATCAATAGTCACAGGAAATAATCAAACTTCTGTTTGGGTTCATTGATCAGCTGTTCTCTGCTGATCAACTGATACTGATCAATAGAATATGTCACAAATAACGGTCGTAGGATGATGAAGGATTTTAATTTCAGACACATTATTGTATAAATGTATTAACACATCTGTTACTGTAGGATGGGGAGGGTTCATTAGTTACTGTAGGATGAGGAAGGTTTATTACTTACTGTAGGATGAGGAAGGTTAATTAGTTACAGTAGGATGAGGAGGGTTCATTAGTTACTGTAGGATGAGGAGGGTGCATTAGTTACTGTAGGATGGGGAAGGTCTATTAGTTAATGTAGGATGAGGAGGGTTCATTAGTTACTGTAGGATGAGGAGGGTTCATTAGTTACTGTAGGATGAGGAAGGTCTATTAGTTACTGTAGGATGAGGAGGGTTTATTAGTTAATGTAGGATGAGGAGGGTTCATTAGTTACTGTAGGATGAGGAGGGTTCATTAGTTACTGTAGGATGAGGAGGGTTTATTAGTTACTGTAGGATGAGGAGGGTTCATTAGTTACTGTAGGATGAGGAGGGTTCATTAGTTACTGTAGGATGAGGAGGGTTTATTAGTTACTGTAGGATGGGGAGGGTTCATTAGTTACTGTAGGATGAGAAGGGTTCATTAGTTACTGTAGGATGAGGAGGGTTTATTAGTTACTATAGGATGAGGAGGGTTTATTAGTTACTGTAGGATGAGGAGGGTTCATTAGTTACTGTAGGATGAGAAGGGTTCATTAGTTACTGTAGGATGAGGAGGGTTCATTAGTTACTGTAGGATGAGGAGGGTTCATTAGTTACTGTAGGATGAGGAGGGTTCATTAGTTAATGTAGGATGAGGAGGGTTCATTAGCTGCTGTAGGATGAAGAAGGTCTATTAGTTAATGTAGGATGAAGAAGGTCTATTAGTTAATGTAGGATGAGGAGGGTTATTTAGTTACTGTAGGATGAGGAGGGTTTATTAGTTACTGTAGGATGAAGAAGGTCTATTAGTTACTGTAGGATGAGGAGGGTTATTTAGTTACTGTAGGATGAGGAGGGTTATTTAGTTACTGTAGGATGAGGAGGGTTTATTAGTTACTGTAGGATGAGGAGGGTTTATTAGTTACTATAGGATGAGGAGGGTTCATTAGTTACTGTAGGATGAGGAGGGTTTATTAGTTACTGTAGGATGAGGAGGGTTTATTAGTTACTGTAGGATGAAGAAGGTCTATTAGTTAATGTAGGATGAGGAGGGTTCATTAGCTACTGTAGGATGAGAAGGGTTCATTAGCTTCTGTAGGATGAGGAGGGTTCATTAGTTACTGTAGGATGAGGAAGGTTTATAAGCTACTGTAGGATGAGGAGGGTTCATTAGTTACTGTAGGATGAGGAAGGTTTATAGTTACTCTAGGATGAGGAAGGTCTATTAGTTACTGTAGGATGAAGAAGGTCTATTAGTTAATGTAGGATGAGGAGGGTTCATTAGCTACTGTAGGATGAGGAGGGTTCATTAGTTACTGTAGGATGAGGGGGTTCACTAGTTACTGTAGGATGGGGAGGGTTCACTAGTTACTGTAGGATGAGGAGGGTTCATTAGTTACTGTAGGATGAGGAGGGTTTATTAGTTACTGTAGGATGAGGAGGGTTCATTAGTTACTGTAGGATGAGGAGGGTTCATTAGTTACTGTAGGATGAGGAGGGTTCATTAGCTGCTGTAGGATGAGGAGGGTTCATTAGTTACTGTAGGATGAGGAGGGTTCATTAGTTACTGTAGGATGAGGAGGGTTTATTAGTTACTGTAGGATGGGGAGGGTTCATTAGTTACTGTAGGATGAGAAGGGTTCATTAGTTACTGTAGGATGAGGAGGGTTTATTAGTTACTGTAGGATGAGGAGGGTTCATTAGTTACTGTAGGATGAGAAGGGTTCATTAGTTACTGTAGGATGAGGAGGGTTCATTAGTTACTGTAGGATGAGGAGGGTTCATTAGCTGCTGTAGGATGAAGAAGGTCTATTAGTTAATGTAGGATGAAGAAGGTCTATTAGTTAATGTAGGATGAGGAGGGTTCATTAGTTACTGTAGGATGAAGAAGGTCTATTAGGTACTGTAGGATGAGGAGGGTTATTTAGTTACTGTAGGATGAGGAGGGTTTATTAGTTACTGTAGGATGAAGAAGGTCTATTAGTTACTGTAGGATGAGGGGGTTATTTAGTTACTGTAGGATGAGGAGGGTTATTTAGTTACTGTAGGATGAGGAGGGTTTATTAGTTACTATAGGATGAGGAGGGTTCATTAGTTACTGTAGGATGAGGAGGGTTTATTAGTTACTGTAGGATGAGGAGGGTTTATTAGTTACTGTAGGATGAAGAAGGTCTATTAGTTAATGTAGGATGAGGAGGGTTCATTAGCTACTGTAGGATGAGAAGGGTTCATTAGCTTCTGTAGGATGAGGAGGGTTCATTAGTTACTGTAGGATGAGGAGGGTTTATAAGCTACTGTAGGATGAGGAGGGTTTATTAGTTACTGTAGGATGAGGAAGGTTTATAAGTTACTCTAGGATGAGGAAGGTTAATTAGTTACTGTAGGATGAGGAGGGTTTATGAGCTGCTGTAGGATGAGGAGGGTTTATAAGTTACTCTAGGATGAGGAGGGTTTATTAGTATTGTAGGATGAGGAGGGTTTATGAGCTGATGTAGGATGAGGAAGGTTTATAAGCTGCTGTAGGATGAGGAAGGTTTATGAGCTGCTGTAGGATGAGGAAGGTCTATTAGTTACTGTAGGATGAGGAGGGTTTATGAGCTGCTGTAGGATGAGGAGGGTTTATAAGTTACTCTAGGATGAGGAGGGTTTATTAGTTATTGTAGGATGAGGAGGGTTCATTAGTTACTGTAGGATGAGAAGGGTTTATTAGCTACTGTAGGATGAGAAGGGTTTATTAGTTAATGTAGGATGAGGAGGGTTTATAAGTTACTCTAGGATGAGGAGGGTTTATTAGTTACTGTAGGATGAGGAGGGTTTATTAGTTACTGTAGGATGAGGAGGGTTTATTAGTTACTGTAGGATGAGGAGGGTTTATAAGTTACTCTAGGATGAGGAGGGTTGGGTGGGAGAGCGACTGTGGGTGAGTTTGGTATTGATTGGTGACCTTTAATGACCTTTAATGACCTTTGATGACCTCTGGTTGAAGCTCACAGAGGTGGGGGGGGGTTGGGGGGCACGCCATGAAGGGTGACTCATAAGAATGAGCATCCATCCTGTGACGTCGTCAGCGGGTTCATTAAAGACACTACGTTACTTTATGCCCTTGAGCTTAGCAGCGGGGGAAGGTCTGTAGTTGTCTGTAGTTCTGCAGGTATTTCAGTCCTTCCAGTAAAATGTGGAGTTTCTTTTTGATTGTTGCGGGCAAAACTCCTTGATTATGCGGCATGTTTTCTTAAAAAATGCGATGAAATATGATATTTATGTAATTTTATGCGTTGAACTTGCAAAAACCGAGTTTGATGAAAAAGAGAAAAAGAGTGATTCCCCAACACCCTGTTCTCAGTGGGCTGCTACCTCGATGTAAAGAGTCATCTCTTATTACTTCCTATGATAAACATACTACATCACAGAGAGTGCTGGGAATATTGAAGTTCTCCTCTTGTTTTTATTTCAGACCTTTTAATAAACACATAACTCAAACTTACAGAACATTGATGAGTCCAACAAGTTCTGTAGCTTTACAAAAGGAATGTGCTCCAACTTCTGTAAAAATGAATTCATGAACTAGAGACTGATTTGCGGGATTCATCGTGGCTTCATCGCGGGGTTTGCAGCTTTTCGACGACGTTCACGTCGCGTAATTACGTCACTTCATAACGTTCCCATGGCAACAGGGGAAAATGGCTGCTCTTGTGTGAAGTAAACATTTTTCAACTTTCTGTGAAGATATTTGTGACTTTTTGCAACGTAAATGCGGGGATTATGAAATCATGCAAGCCCCGCATATTTTGCACGGAAATCGGCAATTTATGCGGTGAAAGTGCGGCGTATTGGCTGATTGTGCGTTGAATTATACGATCGCATAATCGCGTTTTTCTGGAGGGACTGGTATTTACTCTTAAACCAATTAAAGACTTTTATTGTGAAGTTGCCGTCGTCCGCCATCAGATTCAATGAGAATATTAAGTTAAAATGACCTGATGGTGGCGCTAGAGGACATGAGTGAGGAAGAAGACCAATAATAGTCCGATAGCCTCTAAATATCAGAATATATGGTATTGATTCTTAAAATATAGATTTGTGTGTTTAAAGAGTTTTCCTACAATCAGAATATATTGAATCCCTGTTTCTGTCAATACACATCCCATAGAACTGCCCGCTCTCTGACAGGATCAATAACATTATTAGAATCTATAACAGGTGTACCTGCTCTTCTGTCGCCAACCTCCTGTCACTCACTCTTCGTAACCGGGGAAACATAAGGATTATTTGTGTCCACGGATCAATGGTATTGATAAATCAGCAGCTGTTACATTCTTTATATGGATCTGATCGATCCATTGATGAACTTAAACTGTCTCATCGTCCAGTGAACGCTCACTTTGTTTATTGATTATGGATTTCTTCTTACCTCGTTTGTTTTATGTGTAACTGTATTTATCTGTTTGTTTATTGATTATTTATTTGGTTTATAAAACGTCATACAATTCTGAGAGAAACCCACAACTTTCCCCAATCACCCTGATACATCAGTAATATCCTAAACTTACACATTATCAATATATTAGTTAATCATTATCCAGTTTTTGCGGCGCCGTCGTTGACCAGCAGTCTGTTCAGCTCGCCGCCCGCTGACACACATTTGAGAGGCTAGAACTGATTGAAAACATTTTAATCATTAATGATTATTGATTATTTTGTTACCACTTTATCAATCAATAATATTGATCTGTTTTTATACATATTTAATGCCGTAGTGTTTATTCTAGTTCTTACAGTTTATACATGAACTGTGTTAAAAGCACCACGTTGTCCTCTGTGTGTCTTTCCAGTGTGTTTATTAAATTACAAAGGTTATTATTATTATTAGGGACCGAGCACTAACAAGTGCAAGGACCCTGTTGTTCCTCTAGGAATTATTATTATACCTCTGGGACTTCGACCGCATATTTGGCCCCCGCAGCATTCTCAAAATGGCATGAAAATTTGCACAAAATTCAAACGTAGCTAAAACACCGATATGACATTGTCCCCGTGCACGGGCGCTGCCAAACGTCTAAGCCACGCCCCCCAGAATCAGCCCCCAAGACACGTAAGGCCCACATGTACGAAAATTGCTACGCATGTGTATCATGATAAAAGAAGCAGAAAAGCCTCTTGGACCCATGCCCCAAAACCCACAGGAAGTCTGATATTTAAATTTTTTATTTTCATCATTTTGTGGTCATTTTGACTTTTTGTGCTTGTATTTGAACGAACTCCTCCTCCTAGGGAATTTATCGGATCTGCTTCAAAATTGGTCAGTACAGTCAAAACATGGTGCTGAATGAACGCTGTTCAATTTGTAACTGTACGTTGAAGGGCATGTCCGTGGCGTGCCGTCAAAGTTGGCCATTTTGAATTCTGTGGTCTTTTTTTTAAGTGATAAAACACAAACACCCCTCCACTCCCACTAGCCACATCTACAAACCATATTTCCTAGGGAGTATTGTTCGTGGAGCATAGTAGGAAACCGCTGGAAGTCAAGTATTAAATTGCAAGATAAATAGGGGACTTATCAAATCTACTTCAAAATTGGACAGTCTTATAAAAACAAACTGTAGATGAAGGTTGAGCTATTTGTGACTGTACTTGAAGGGTCAAAGTTGGCCATTTTTAATGAATGTCATACTGTGATGTTATTTTTGGCATTTCAGGGCTTCTTTTTTAACTAACTCCTCCTACAGGTTCTATTGGATCTACTTCAGAATTGGTCAGTGCAGTCAGTTTTTTTCGTCCAACATTGTGCCCGTGGCGTCCCGTGGCATCCAATTTCAAACCTTTGCCATGAAAGAGGGATTAGTCATAACTTCTGCGTACATGATCCGACTGCAATGAAACTTCACATGTTTGATAAGAGTCCCGCCAAATAATAATATTAATCGCCCTTGCCTGAACAGGAAGAATTTTTTATTTTTTTTTTTCGTCAAGCTATGCTGATAAATGTAAAACACATTTATATGTGTTGGGGGGGGTTTAAATTTTTTTTATCCAAAAAAAAATTATTAAATTTTAATATTCAGTAATAGTCAGAGCGCCACCTAGTGGTGAAAGGAAATGTAATATTTTTTATACTTCCATGTTCACTCTCTAGTAGGATGATCAGATCAAGCTGAAATCTAGTCAGTAAATGGAAAACATGTTCTTGATGATATTTCTTGATTGTGGTGAGTTCTTATTAAAGGGCGTGTCCGTGGCGTGGCATCAAACTTTGATGTACCGCCAGAACACACAAAGTTGCTATAACTTGAGTGTACATTGTCCAATCGGCTCCAAACTTCACATGTCTGATAAGAGTCCCGCCCTGAACACATAGTGATAGCGCCACCTAGTGGCAAGAGGAAGAAAGTGCTGCGTGGCGATTTTGAGCTGATTTACGTGAGATTTTCATGTCGTGGTCCGCACGTGTTACGACGCCATGTGACGCGGCCGCAGCACGCCCCGAGTTGCGTGGAGTGCGAGGTCCCGTCCATCGCTGCTTGCAGCTTTAATTATAACTTAATGTTATGTTTGAATAGTCTTTTTCGTGTTGTTTGAAAATGTGAATTAAAATAATAATTAAAAATATATATTTTAGTCTAAAAAAATTGGCCAATGAGCGCAGCGCCCGGTGAACCTTTCACCTTAACGTATGGCAGCTTGTTATTGATAGCGAGTTTGGAAATTTAGCAGAGTAAAACACACGAATATGGATCGTTTTTTGCTGCCTAAACATTCACGTTCTGAGTCACAACCTGAAGGGAAACGAGACTGTGAAGTTCTATGGTAAGTGCATGGTTTTCCACTCTGTTGGCTTTTACAAATTAAATTAATTTGGTGGTTGAAGCACAAATCTGGGCTTTCCATAGTTACATCTATGATGGTCCAACAATAGGAACACTGCTGATTCATCATTATACCAGTGTTGGTAACTGGCTGTGTGATTTTGTGATCTGAGCAGGCCGAAGCGTGCACAGTGTCTGTTGCCTTCTGTTGCTGCTGTTTGCTGCTCCGTTGTATTCAGGGCTCGACTGTGACTGAATTGTGTGAAATATTATTTTCAGAGGTTTACATTGGCAGGCTTATGTATGTTGTATCTATAGCCATATGTACTTTTACATATATATGCTTATTAGTCGCGGAACGAGTATAGTTAATGCGCGTGTACGTATATATACCAAGGGTGGTCCGATGCGACCTCCATAATGAAACGCCCCAAAATTCAAAGCATCTTCTCTTAAGTGTTGAGCATCCCCATAGCACCTGTAACAGAAAATCTCTGAAGAGCTCTCTGAACAGAGCAGTTCACATTTTCTATGCTTTGGAGGGCCCTGATAGCTGGGGGGTCCTACCCAATCTCTTAGTCCCCTTAGACCCTGGGCTGGCTCTGGTCCATCTAGAAAGGACTCTGGGACAGTTGAGACCTGGACTGTGCTAAAGGGTCTTCAGTGAAACCAGCTCAGTGTCAGTGTTGGAAGGTTTCTGTATGTGAGCTCTCAACTCTTCATCCATGCTCTTCCCTTCAGAGTATTAACAGTTAAAAATCAACCTCAGCCAAGGTGCTTCGAGCTGTCAGACAAGTTCAGACACACTGTTCACTGATGACGTGAGCTCAGGTTATAATCAAACTGCGTCTGATTCTACTTGACAAACAACAACATTACATGTAAATCTTTCTAAAAGCATCTTTAACTCGGAGAGAAATTCAAGTACAGAAAGCAACTTTCAAAGATATTTTCTGAAACAGCTCATCAGCATATGGAAACATTTCTACTGTCCAGATAAACAGAGATACAGCACAATGTGATCAAAGTCATCCTGATGATCAAATATTTACACATTTCTCTGGTAGGATTCTCACCTGCTGAACTCATTTCAGGTCGACTTACAGACACTTTCCACCTTCACGTGTGGAGGAAACACTGGGAGAGAAGAAGCTGCTCCTTTCTTCCTCGTCAGTCCTGGTGTCTGTGTGCATTTGATCCGAGGACGCTGTCACACCCTAAAAACTTCACGGTCCAAGTCTAACAAACACCAGAGTGACGTCAGAACCAGTTGAACAAGAATCAGACTGCATCCTATCAAAAGCATTTTTATTGCCTTCTTCCTCTCCCTGAACTGTCGGAGTGTTGGGGATGTGTTTGTATTGTTTCAGATCCATTTGTCATTATAGTTGATGAAGGCTGCAAGAACAAAAGTGCTTTAAACCTCTGAATTCTCGCATGTAATAAAGACACAAATCTAACTCCATACTTAAGGCGCTGCCAGTGTTTGTGTGGGATGAATGCGCACCCTGCTGGTGAAACTAAGCAACTACATCTGAAATCTACTAGGCTGTATCGCTCTACACATTGTAAAACTGTAAAACTGGGGATTGCACTGTGTGTGTAACTAATGGGCGTTACATACATATTAAAAGTAAGAATTAATAGTGAATTTTTAACTCTGATACACTGTCACAAAAAAATACATATTTCTCCATTATGTTCTTTCTGTAAAACAGAAATCAAATCTATCTCTCATCTATTCCTTAAACGGACTCACACACTGCAAATTATCTGGCACTTGCCAAGATTTAAAATCTAATTTTTAGACATCATAGATAATTTGCCTTGTTTTAAAAGTTATTTACTTATTTTTAATTCATCATTTTACAGTATAATCTTAAATTGAGCATGAACATGTCTTTTATGTCTGTTTTAGTCAAGGAATCTTAAAACGGAGTGAATAAATCTTAAAATAAGCTAAATTACTTCCTTCACCAAAATAAAACTTGTTTCAAGATTCAGTCACAATTCAAGTTGCTTGATTTAAGA